AATTACACGGTATATATAACGTCAAATTCTGTTTTTATACGTGTATATATTAAAATGAACCCCCTAAAGACAAAGTATAGGCTTGGCTCAGTGGATAAATGGTTCAACAAATGTCCCTAGGTCACGAGTTTGAATCCCAAGGATAACATTTTTGCCTTCCTTTAAATGCTTTGGAAAATGGAACTTTTGGGCTTAGACTTTCTTCTTCTTTTTCATTATTTTTCCTTTTGTTCCATTTCTTCTTTTTAATTTGTTTTTGTTTAAAATTTATTAGACACATTCTTTTTATTTTTATTTTTTATTCTTTTTATATCTATTATTCATTTTGTTTCAACGTAACTCTTTTTTCAAATATTAACTTGAATAACTTTTAAAAAATGATGAATTTTATTTAGCTAGAAATTGAGATAGAAATATAATTTATTTTTTAAAAAAAGGTAAATTAGATGTAATTGAATGAAGAAACTTAAATATCGTCAACATCCTTTCAAAAATATTAATTTATAGAATTCATGAAATTTCTTTTATATTTTTAATTCTATTTTAGAGAGATGGAAACTAAACATATTTGATTTATTCGTTATTTGTCTTTTTTACAAATTATGACTAACCTAGTAAATTGAACTATATGAACTAAAAAAAATTGACGATGCTATTTATTTAGCTATCTTCTGAATATGCATTATAATATTAGTAACTCTATTTTTACACACTTTTAGAGAATTTTGACAATTTTCATAGTACTATGTGATTGAATGGATGCAAATTTAAAATTTTTAAAAAGTGAAAAATAAAGTAAAACATTACAAAATAAAAGAATAAAAAGCACAAGAAATTTTAAGAATGCTCGATAGAGCAGGATAAAAGTAGAAAGAAATGATTAATATGGTATGATGAATTAGTAAGTTAAATTTAGCATGATAAGGTAAATATCTTTCTTTTCCGTCTTGCTCTTTTTTCATCATTTAATTTTCACGTGTTTTAGGAGTTAAGTTATGTAATACAGTCGATCCACTAAAATTCTTATGAATGTATCTTTGTCCTCGATATCTTTGATTAGTTTAGTTTTTACTTTATGAACCAATGAAATATCTATGGTTGTTGTACAAAGAGCATGCCGAGGGACTACTATCCTTACCATACATTTGCATTACCTGAACTTCTCCTTTATACTTTGAACCCCTAAGCAAAAATCCTGGATCCGCCACTGACCTTAGGAGGGCCGCACACCCATTAACTTAAAAAATCATATGTATACAACAGAAAAATCATATGTACATGTCGTTTAAAAAACTGACATAAACTATAATATAGTTAACAGTTCATCCATGAAAAAGCAGAGATTTGAATCTAGCTAAAGCCCTTTTTCATTCTTTTTATTTTAAATTTAAATTAGAGCTCATATAATATCGAAGCACCCGAAATCTTCAAATCCTAAATTCACCTTTGCATAAAGGGCGACAGGTGATGAAATGGGCAAGGTGCGGGAATTGAGGCGTTTGCATTGGGAAAAGATAATGAACTTATTATGGTCATATTCAAGTCATCTTCAATTCCATTTCTAATGGTAGCTAACAAGCATTGAGAAATGGTAACTACATCTAAGTTGTACATCGATGACTATATATATAAAAAAAAAAAAGTTTATACCAAGTGTAACATATAGAATTGACAAAATGGTTCTGGTGTGTCATTTCCTAATTTTAAAAAAAGAAAAAGGGTCTGAAAAATACTTCAATTTTGACCGAAATTGTTGTTACGATACCAAACTTTATGGATGACCTTTTACCCTGTACTATTTAATAGTATATTTTAAAGGTATATATTTGCCCACATGAACACATTACTATTTATAATGATCCAATATTTATGATGTCCACGTGGACACATATATACCTTTAAAATACACAATTTACTTTAAAATACACTATTAAATAGTGCAGGGGTAAAAATTCCTTTCCAAATTCGATATTGTTTCGGCAATTTCGATCAAAGTTCGGATATATTTCAGACATTTTTCCCTTTAAAAAAATGCAAGTGTTATTAAAAGCTTTCTTCTCTATTGGCAAAGGCAGGTGCCATTATAAACTGCAGAAGCCCCTATCTACGAACCACGTTCTCTTCATGCCACTTTTCAATCTGCACAAGCACACAAATCATACAATATTATTCCCATGTGTACAGTTATAAAAAAATATATATATACTAGAAATAACTTATAAATGATCATTTGAATTGGTTCAATTTTTAGTTCTTATATAACTTTATTCAAATTAACTCTTAAACAACGTATATATGTAGAAAACTTGTCAATTTTGGATTGTATTTTCTTTGGTGTTAGGTGTCAAAGGTCATATGATGTTATATCTGGTTGTTTAAATCACACCATAATTGAGATTGTGAAACTAAGTAGGCCTTTATGCATATCACCATAATAGTTTTTACTTTTTTCCCATCCAAAATTCAACATTTCAAATATCATTTTCGCTTTTGAAAAATATTCACATTTTTATGACAAATCTCTATTTTGCATACCCATTCTGAAGGACAAGATGATTTGAAAGCCTTCTCAAGCTTCTCACACTCCGAGTCCTTGTTGCCCTTCTCTTCAACGCATCTAATCATTCGTTACAAGTCAAAAATAAAAAAGAATTATCAAAAGTGTAAATTAACAGCAAAATAATAATTCTACTTCTTTTTTTTTCTTCTATTAATGGATGTAAGTATAATTAACACTGTAGGAAAAAAGGAAACAAACTTAAGGTAGCTGCGGAAACAAGCATAACAATGGCGAATTTCATCAGCAATTGCATTAGCTTTAGCTTTCTCTTCCGTTTCAAACTGCAATCTCACATCCACAAAATTCATCACTCGATAAACACAGATCAATAGAACATATATAAAAATCCAATCCAACTATTGATTAGTGTAGATAGAAATTAGAAGCTTGAATTCAAGTTTTGATTTCAAATCAACATTCAAAATTTTGAAATATACAGAGTTTTGAGAAGAGGAGGATGGAGTGGAGACCAGATGATCAGTTGAGGAAGGAGGCGGCGGCATTGAAACAGTGCCAAATTCATGAACAGGGCGAGGTGATTGTTCGCCTTTGGCTACTTTGTTAACATCTCTACCCCTCATTTTGTCATGTGGATCTACTTGAGCTGATGACATTTTTCCTCTGTAAACAAACACAATACTCTAATTTCTACTTTTTTTCTTCTTTTTTGGTGTGTAAATTATTAGTTTGATATGAGCAGAGAGAAAGAGAGAGAGAGGTGAGTACTGAAGAAATAAACAGAGTGAATGCTGACACAATGCTATCAAGTTTACAAAAGACACGTACCAAATATGTAAATGAAACGTGTCACCCCACACTGCTAAGGTTTTGTATCTCTTTATGATGATTAAGAAGTTTATTTTAAAAAAAAATTTGAATATTAAATGATTAAGATTATTATTTAATTATATATTTATGTTCATTAGTGATGATGGGATTGAAATAATGGGTTGCGATTCCGTGAAGGTGAACTAATGATGCTAGTGGCTAATAATGATAGTGATGATGGAGATAGTTGATATTGTAGTAATTGTTATGATAGGGGCGATTGATAGTGGTGATGGTTATGATGATGAAGTTGGTTGATGTTAATAGTTGGCAATGTTGATGACGGTGGCTGAGGGATATGTGGTGGTTGATGATGTGTTGACATGATAGTTTGCGACGGTGCTAGTTGTGATGGTGAAAATGGTTGGTCATATACAAGGATTACCGTAGTGGTGGAAATGACTGATAGTGATGATGGAAATGACGGTGATAATGATGTTTGACGATGTGTTGGTGGTAGTTAGCGGTGGTACTGGCGGTGTTGGTTGGTAATATGGATCGACCGTAATAGCAGTACGCGTGATTTATAATGGTGGTAGAGGTAGCGATGTTAATGGTAATAAATATAATTATAATGATGAATGTGATAAGTATGGTAGCGGTTGATAGTAATGGTTGGGATTGGTGATGATTGTTATGCCATAGGTGGTTAATAGTGGTGATTGAGGATAACATAGGTGGTTAATGACAGTGATTGAGGATAGTATGGCGGTGATTTAGGGGTTTTCATCCAATTTGGGGTATATGTGACAGGGTATTTTTGACCTTTTGCCCAAAAGAAAATTAAATAGCTTCCATCAAAAGATGTGATGTTATTCCTCTCTTAACTAGATGTCTCAGTGTTGAGCTATGGATATGAAAATATCTTTAGTAGAAAACGCTCTCATGAAGTGATGCGAATCCTAAAGAGATATTTAAGTTCTTGACAATCTTAAAAACATCAATTTATAGCTTAACTCGCTAAAGTTTTTGGATTTTTTTTATTTTTTTTTTGGGGGGGGGGGGCCTTTTCCTCAACCTCTCTTCTCTATGGATCGACCGTAATAGCAGTACGCGTGATTTATAATGGTGGTAGAGGTAGCGATGTTAATGGTAATAAATATAATTATAATGATGAATGTGATAAGTATGGTAGCGGTTGATAGTAATGGTTGGGATTGGTGATGATTGTTATGCCATAGGTGGTTAATAGTGGTGATTGAGGATAACATAGGTGGTTAATGACAGTGATTGAGGATAGTATGGCGGTGATTTAGGGGTTTTCATCCAATTTGGGGTATATGTGACAGGGTATTTTTGACCTTTTGCCCAAAAGAAAATTAAATAGCTTCCATCAAAAGATGTGATGTTATTCCTCTCTTAACTAGATGTCTCAGTGTTGAGCTATGGATATGAAAATATCTTTAGTAGAAAACGCTCTCATGAAGTGATGCGAATCCTAAAGAGATATTTAAGTTCTTGACAATCTTAAAAACATCAATTTATAGCTTAACTCGCTAAAGTTTTTGGATTTTTTTTATTTTTTTTTTGGGGGGGGGGGGTCTTTTCCTCCACCTCTCTTCTCCCCATCATCTTTGTCCCACTCTAACTGTACTTAGAAAGGGGGGAAAGATCCAAATTTTGAAGTGAAATTTCCTCAACCTTAGTCACATTTGCTCAATTCATTTGATGAGTTTCTAGGAAATTTCCTCATGGTGTTAACTCTCCATTCTGTAATTCTGTTCAATGTATATAAATATCACTTCACAATAAACACAAGAAAATCATCAAAACATTAAGCTCAGAATAATGTGGCATTGCTCTTTCTCTTCCCTCTCACTTTGCTGCTTATTCTTACTATTAACAATAATTCCTACACACTGTTACCTGATTTCCCCACCATTGTTAGACTTGATCAACTCAACCTGCAAAGAATGCTCAGATAAGTCAGCAAACATAAACTACAACTTCTGTGTTACTTCACTCCAAGCAATTCCTATAACTCATGTTACCAACTTACAAGGAGTAGGAATTGTAGCAATGGAGCTGGCTCTAGAAAATGCTACCAACACGATTTCAAGCATTGAGAAGATGCTCAGTAGCAAAGAGTTTGATCCTTTTGCTATGAACTGTTTAAGAGATTGCTTGGAACTTTATGCAGATGCTATTACCCTGCTGGTTGATGCTTTTGTCGCGTTCTTGGCTGAGCATTTTGATATAGCTACTGTACTAATGAGGACAGTTATGGATGCGACATCAACATGTGATGAAGAGTTCACTGAGAAGAAAGGAGAGTTGACACTACTAGCAAAGGAGAATTACAATCTCTTCCAATTGAGTGACATCTCCTCATGCATCATTAAACAAGTTTCCTCTGTTCCTTCTCAGCTAACTAATGTATCTTCTTAAGATGCAGCTATAAATTGTGTACTGAATGGGACATCAAAGGGTTGCTAAATTCTTGTAGAAATACTGATCAACAAGTCTTGTTATCCCCATCCCCCTTTTCCTTTTCCCCTGGCAAGGATATTTGCACATCAAAGTTGAAAACACACACATTAGAGGTCAATTAACAAGAGAACTGGGACGAACACAAGATAAATGGTAACAACAAAAAGAGCACTATATAATCAAGTGTTAAGATCCATATAGTTAAAGGTGAGATTTGTCACTTCAAAGGCCCTCCCCGAACTGTTCTGAAAACCCATCTCCATCCCCTTAAACCTCACGTTACAATGTGCTAGCTTCATAAATTTCAGTCTAGATTGTTCAGAAGAGGCAGCTCTTAGCTGCTTTCTCAGCAATTGTGTGCAGTCAAGGAAGGAGGTTATCAGTACTTGCAAGCCACAGCTGATTGCCATAATTGATCAAGACATGAACTGGTGGAACCTTTGATAAAGCAAGGTTCGGTAGGTATGAATTATACTGCTGAATAAAACATACAGTTATGGGAAACAAAGTGCACGATTTTGTTAGCAAGAAACTTTAGTCAACGCAGAAGTAAATGTAACTGGAGTATATGATTACCCAATACCCTCACTGTTTAAACCAAAGATAAACTTGCTAGTCCATTAAGACGAACATACACAGAACATTTCAAAAATGTTACATTACAAATATTATGTTTGTATGGCATAACATAAAAGCAGGGTTTTCTGGGGTGCTCGTGAAGATATATTTGTCGAATGAACATCAATGAACTCCCTAATACTTGAATGAACTAGAACAAATCTTTTGTAAGTAAACGGACATGATAATGAACCAAGGGAAGGGGTGGAAATTGCCTTTTCCCTTCTCAATTTTATCTAAGAAGCAGTGCACCAACCAAGCATCGGAGGTGATAACAACAAAATTTGAAGTCAGTCTGCAGGCACACGTACTGACCAGTTGGTACTCACAATGGTCCAAACTGGTGTGGCTTCATGGAACCTTCTCAGAGCAAATTTGCATTTCTTTCCATGATTTGGGATAACCACATCCAAACAAATAAAGAGTTAAGAAGTAAAAACTAGTAGAAAATTATCAATTGGCTAAGCCTGAAATGTTCTCTTTAATTGAGTGGGGACAGCAGATAACTTCGCAGTTGGCACTAGTAGAATGCTTAAAAAGAATCAATCATGTCCATCGTCCAGTATGTTTTTTGATTGTTGCCCATCGTCTAGTATAACTTCTTTGATACATGTTTTTCTATAGCACTGCACCAAAGATGCAAAACAGGATTTATCATTTTTACCACACTAATTAAACTTGCTGGAAATATGATTTCTCAAAATTGTTGATACCACACCGAACAGAAAGGAGAAAATCTGAACTCTACTGTTCCAATTGAGTTCTTTTCCTGATAAAAGCATGGATTAGTCATCTCTTTTAATATTGATCAAGGAAATTAGGTAGAACATATGATAAAAACACATTGTTGCATTACTTACTAATAACCAGGTAAGACATCTGCCTAAAAATGAATGCAGTATGTATTTGTTTCAGTTTGAAATTATCTAACCATGACAAGTCATGTGCTTTCCTCCTCTCAGAAATGTGCATAGCTGAGACTTATTCAACTAAACCTAGATACTGCTAATCCTGCAAGCTAACATAGATTATATAGGCTCTACAAATTTGTAACAAAGTTAACAGCAGATTTGAGCTTTCAACATTCCTAGAACATAATCATGCAACATGTAGTAGTCTAACTATGAAGAGCGTGTGTGTTCATACTTAGCAAGCAAGGGTAAATTCATTAAGAAAAGCTTAAGATCATGATAAGAATATCACAATTCAGGATTAGCCAAGGCAGTAAAGCACTTAACCTCAGGCTGTATAAAGTATATTACTTGAATTTAGGCAATCCTGTACCATGCCTACCAAGTTGTCCAATCAATAATATGACTGTAACATCTAGCATATGCAACAATAGTATAAAAGATAAATACATTAAGATTTAGCAAAAAGAGTAAATTGTTAATGCTATAGTATATTAGCAGGGAGATAGATAACATTACCTGGAGACCTCCAGTCAGACACTTTCAAAGTTTAACTCTCCGGTCAATTGTCTCCTTTCAAAAGGCTAGATTTCTCACTTGTTTGCCATTAAATGTAACTCTTGATGATGTTTGATTAAGTAAACTTAGCTCTATCCGTTAATTGGAACAAGGAAGTTTAGAAAACCCTCTGGGACTGACATGGTATAAAGCACAAGTGAAAATAACCGAATGATGATGCCATCAGTTGCTAAAAACACAGACAGAGAGGGGGCAGGGAGAAGAAATTAGAAGATAAAACTGAAGATACAAAATTTACAAATATGGAAGATCTTAACTTTGGCATGAGGTTCAATATTTAATTGTTTTAGCTAACCTGGTTGTGGGTAGTGGTGGCAGTGATGTAGCGAGGAGAGAGAAGGGAGAAGTGTGAAGGACAGATCTAGTGGTGGAGGTTGTGGCAGAATGGCAGGTGAAAAGAACGTGAAGGGTAAGAGTGAAGGTTCGGTGGTGGTGATGGCAGTGGTGATGAGGATGATGCATTATGGTGGAGGAGGTGGTGGCTGGGAGGGAGAATGAGGAAGAAGAAATAATATTTCTTTTGTTAAAAATGCAAATATGACTTTCACGTGCTTATAAAGTTATAATAGGTGTATTACACACTATGCCATGTCAACAATGTGTCTAATAAACACAATTTGAATATAGTTCAAGTGTCTAAATGAAATTCTTTTAGATGCTGATTGATTAGTTCTTATAAAAAAACTAATTAGCTGTTATTACTAAGATCATGTGTATACATAGCAAAATCTTTTGATATAGGTACAAATTCAAACAACGTAATATGTTTGCATTGAAAAGTACAAGTTGTATGTTTTAAACCATTTATCAATGAGGAAAGAGCGGTAATCAGTTATGTTCATAGATTATTATGAATAAGTAAGGAGCATAACAATGTAAAGTTTGCTAGTGGAAACTGAAGCTTAAACAAAAGCAGTGACGGAGAACAGAGGAACTATCTCATTTTATAAAATTGGATACTTACATACAAGCTGCTACACTCTTCTTGGCAATACAAGTAACTTTAGTACCGTAAAATGTAAATTGTGATTTTCTTCAGGTTTAGGAAGAACAAAAGCCCAAAGGACCTCCAAAAGCACTAATCTGGCTTAAACTCTGCTGCATAAACCCTTCTTCATCACGTTCATTTCTCCTATTATCATCCTGACGTGATGTAAGACCATGTTCTTTAAGGTAGTTCTGTTGCTCCAATGTTTTCCAGTCATTCAGCTTTATATACCCAATGTCTTCTCATGAATCAGGCCGCCACTGGAAAAGGGGTACTTACACAGAAGCTGCTACACCCTTCTTGGTAACGCAAGTACGTTAAGTACCATAAAAAGTTTGATTTTCTTTCGAAAAAAGTAGTGCCAGCAAGACTTCCAAAAGTGTTAATCTTGCTTAAATTTCTGCTGCATGAACCCCTTCTTCATCATCATCACTTTCATTTCCTTCATTATCTTTTTCCTCACCTGTGCCTAGTAACAAACTTTTCTGATCTACTGGAACAGCATTTCTTTTGTAGTTCCAAACAAGCATTGAAATGTAATCCTGAGGTGAGATCAGACCTTGTTCTTTTAGGCAGTTCTGTTGCTCCTCTAAAGTTTTCTGGTCACTCAGCTTTATATACTCCAGCAGTGCCTTCTCATGATCGGGCCTCCAAGCCACTGGGAACGGGGTATAATCAGTTTCCGGTACCAGGGACATGCGGGTGTACATGAGCCCATCAATTGATTCCACCAGGCCCATCCTCAGCAAGTTATGGTATTCTGGTGACTGTCCCTTTTTCTCCTTCAGAGGACGACTAAGAGTCCTAGAACCAATCTTGTAAACCTTTGCTCGTGACCGAAGCTTGTATTTTGCAGCATAGAGCTTAGCAAGTGAACCCCTAATGATATAAGAACAAAAATTAACAATCTTTTTTCTATTATCAGCATACCTGAACCATTCCACCATTGTTGACAAAAGCTTATTCATCTGAGCATTTGTATGGGCTTGAGTTGCATGAAACATTCTAAAACACGGCTGTGGATCTGGATCCCTGTCTCCCTTGAGAAAGTTCAACTTTCTAAATTGTCTAATGCACTGTTTCAGGCTAGCTGTGACAGAGAGCAGTGTCCCTACACCCTTTTCACTAATGATTTTCCCACCAGTAGCAGTATATCGAAGTGTGGGATAGACTACTCTACGGCACAATACATGATCAAGAAACATAATACCTTTTGTTATGTGTTCAATAGGAAGGCCCTCATTGTCAAGCTTGAGCATGTATTTCTGATCACAGAACTCAATTAACTGCTTTCTTAGCGTTGCAGCATCTGCTCTTGGTCCTCTTACCCCTATTAGAATGTGACCACCAAAACGGATGTAATCAATCTTCCTGGTCTTGTCAGGCCCACTGGTAGGAACAAATTCGGGCCAAGAAGTATTTCCTTGTTCTACTTCCCCATCTGGACTATTCCAAATGACATCATTCTTCGAAGGCCGATAAAACTCCTGAATCTTACCTTCCATCCAGCGGTCCAACTCATCAAGGCAAACGTTAGCCAGAAGTGGACTAAGTATACCACAATGCCCCCATGAAGGTACTTTCTCAGCCTCCTCTGGAGCAAACCCAAAGAATGATTCCAGCCAGTATGGATCAGGCTTCGGCTCATCATCTGCTAAGACTCTCTTCTTCTGATACTTTCTTTTCGTCTTCTTCTTTTTCTCAACATCATCAGGTCTGGTAGTTACCACAGGAGTAGTTAAAGCAGCTTTTATCAAATCAACTACCTTCTTATCTCTAACATCCCTCATTAAAGCACTAATGACCATCCCAACCTTCATCCCATCCAAAACTGTACTTAAATCCCCTTTTATATACCACAAATACCCTGCAAAGCTTCTCCTAATAACCCTCAAAGCTGTATGTGCAGTC